AAGGATTCTGAGGCTCCGTCTAAAATACTTTGGACATGTTGTAAGGAGAAGGTCCTTGGAGAGGGACATCATGCTTGGGAGGGTGGAGGGACAGCGCAGGAGAGGAAGGCCCTCTATGAGGTGGATTGTTTCAGTGACTGGGATAATCGGGATGGGAGTGTCAGAGACAGTGAGATTGGCACAAGACAGAGCAGAGTTTAGGGCTGTTGTACAAAGAGTCACTATGAGTTGCAAGCAACTTGACGGCACATAACAACAACAACAACATATGAAGAAGACTCAACTAAAAGATCTTTTTTGGGGGGAAACCCCCAAAACAAACTTTTAATGGCTCGAATTAATTTTTTTTATTATTATAAAGCAAGTTTATTTCTACAGAGTGGAGGTGTCTTATGTTTACACAGAAGGACAGAATGAGGGGAACCCAATCCAACCCTTGTTCCCCTTACATAACTGGGAATCTTACTTCCACATTTTACTGGGGACCAAAGATGTTGGGATCATGAAGGGTCAGACTGTCACCAGCTGTTCAAAGTCACCCAGGCTCCAAGGTGGGGGAGACAGATTTTCAGGACCAAGAGATGCACTGTTCTGGGGGTGGGGGGCGCTAACTGAAGGTGAGCAGATCGGCCTGGTACATTGGGTGGCTGCAGGCTTGGTGTAGCATCACCTTCTTTGCTACCTGTTGGTTTTCCTTAGCTACCTAATGTTTGCCAGAAAGGACCCAAGCTTCTTGACAGAAGCCCCCACAGGGCCAAGTTCTTCAAAGGGCAGGGCCTCACGGCCTCCACTTGTGCAGCCCTTGCGCCCTGGACCCTGCCAATGTCCTCAAAGTGGTACCGCACTGCCACCTCGCCTTGCCTCACACGTGGGCCTGAAGCTCCAGAAGTTCCACCATCAGACTCTGGTCTATCTCGCGATGGCAGAAAACTTCCTGATTGTCTGGGACCGGCTGGAGGTCACTTAAATCAATGGCCCTGGTGGGGAGGATGGTGGAAAAGGTGCCCCAGAACAGCGGGATAGTCTCACGCGCTCTCCTTGGGCCTGAGCAGGGGGATGGATACTAAAGAGGCTTAAAGGAAACCCACATGGGGTGTAGGCAGGACCACTTGGGGACAGGAGGCATCACCTCCCTCCCTGTCACCAAGGACACTTCTGGTCCCTCGAATTAATTTTCAATGGGAAAGAAGTCATTATAAATATTGCTAACACAAAGAGGTGACTAACTTACAGTAACAATTATCAGATCAAGTCACCCCTTTATATGATGAAAAGAAAATGAAGTATCTTTTCATCTTTCAGCCAAAGAAAGGGGAGCGAGGCGGCACTTGTAGATATAAAAACTAAACACTTCATAGGATTACAATTTCTTGGTCTGAAGGTTTAGGGTTACAGCTTTGTGGATCTATTCAGCCACCTGGTCTCCTAGAATAGTAACAGGAGCTCTGGTGGCCTACTGGTAAGAAGCTGCACTGCAATCCCAGAGGCATGTGGTTCAAATTCACCAGGTGACATCCCAAAGGCACGTGGGAGAAGGATGGGTAATATCCTCCCGTGTGATTTCAGACTCTGAGAACCCGCTGAAGGGTCAGGTATGGGTCTGGGTCAGTTCTGACTTGACAGCACACAAAAACAACAGTATAGCAAGTAGTAAGTAGTGTCTGATATCTTAAAAGCTCGCCAATTCCCACCCAGGATCAAACAACTGTACTTTATTTGCCTGGAGCAGTTGGAAGAGGTTGTCCAGAAACTGGACAAATAAATTGGTTGTAGATCTAACTACCTACATAATTATTACCCCCTGCATCATGAGACCAGAAGAAAGGGCTGATGTATAGCTACTATTATTGGATGTTCTGATAAATGAACCAATAGCTGAGTATGGATCAAAAGGAGAAGAAGACATGTAGAACAGAACAACAAATTCTAGGAAACCAGACTTAGTGGATCCATTAAGATGGGGATAAACCCCTGAAATCTATTGTCCTGAACAGAAATTATTCCAGTAAATCATCTGTGAACAAAATCAGAGCTTAGCTCAAATAATAAAGCATGTCAGCCATGGACATTGTGCTATTTTATGGTATTACCTATATGTGACCAAATTGACAGCACTAACTCCAAAGCACAATTAAGAACTTTAAGAGGCAGAGAGAGTAAAAGTTAATGACAGAGATAATGAGAATGGTGATACAAGGTAACCAATAGCACTAAACTCTACAGGCAGAAATTGTTAAACAGATGCATGTTTTGTTATGTATCTCTTCACGAAAAGCAACCTGTATACTTTCCCACCTTAGGAGAGGAAAAACAAAAGAAATAAACAGAACCATTTTATGTAGTGGCACCTTTACATTCATACATTAAAAACTCAAAAGCCAACCCATGACAACAATGTCTAAGCACATTATGAATGTAATCTATGAAGTAACCCACCTGGACTGGTAAGGGGTGAGGCTGGCAATGGGCACCACTTTGGATGCCTGTGTGCCCCCAGCCGTGCTCACGAGGCTGGTACTTGCTGCTTTTCCAAATGTCTTTGAGGCACCACAAGCCTTTGGTACAGTGGATGCTTTAAAACAAACAGGAAGGACAATCCTTTACTCAGCTTTGACAGCAACTCTCACAAAAATTACTTAGGGTTGAAATTCTCAACCACTGAGGTGTCAATGATAAAACTGCAAAATGAGAGGCAATGTTTTATTTTTGGTTGGTTTTTTTACTATCCATGAAGAGCAAATGGAGACGGGAAGAGGATGATGACTCACGGCCAGGCAAATGAAAATTCACTATTAAATTTGTTGTTTAAGCCCCAAGGTTTATGTTGTTGCTGTGAAGATCTTAGCAACTCTGTGAACAAGAGGGTAGACTCCTGCCCTATCCTCAGGTCCCCCTGGCGCTCTAGTGCCACTGTTAGAGTCCGCCACTGTGTGGACTTAGCTTCTGCAAGGCTGTCCTCTCTTTTGGTACCTTCTACCTTTCCCAGTATCATGTCTTTTTCCAAAGATTGATCTGTCCTGTTAACAGATTATATAATGATAATGAATTCAGATACTGCATTTTGACGTTCACCCTCTTAAACGTTTCTCTTATACCAAGAGGAAAGAAAACCATCATTTTTGACTGATAAAACTGACAGCAAGTCATTGCTTGTTAGATGCCGTCTAGTAAATTCTGACTCACAGGAATCCTATATAAAACAGAAGGAAACACTGTTTGATCCTATGCAAACTGCCCAATCTCTGCTGGGCTCCACTGCTGCCATCACTGTGTCACTCCATCTCAAGGGCCTTCCTCTTTTTCACCGACTCTCTCCTAAGCATGAACCTTTTCTCCAGGTGATGAATCCTGTTATCATCATGCCCAAAGTACCTCCTGACTTCTAAGGAGCATTGCAGTTGCCAACAGTTTCAAGACAGATCAACTGTTCCTGCCTTACTCATTGGCCAACTTCTGCATGCAGATGAGGTGACTGAAAATAACTGGGTCAGGCCATCTTGGGCTTCAAAGTGACATCCTTTAATAAAGAAGTCATTTATAGCAAATCTGCCCACTGCAATATGTTATCTGATTGTTTTTGACTGCTGTTTCCATGGACAATGACTGTGGGTCAATGAAATCCTTGACAACGTGCATCTTTTCTCCATTTAGGCAAGTTAATAGTCACATAACCAATAAAACGGAAGACTGGGAAATAAGGCACGTTCTTAGCTGGACCATCTGATGGAAAGGACATTGATTTAAAGTCATCTCAGAACACAACACTCTGGTACTCCACTGGGCCACAGGGCTAAGTAGTACAGAATGACGTCCAGGGGACCAGGGTTGGTTGGAAACAAGAGACAGTTCTTGGTTCAAAACATGTAGGTGGGTGACTACTGTGACTCTTTACTCATTCATCTGAGCCTGCTACAGGAACCCGCCACTTAGAAAGAACAGGGAATTAAAGCTTATTAGAAGATGAATTTCTTAGTGTACACATTTCTGTAAATGTTCAATCTCCAAAATAAGAAACATTATTTAGTTCAATGATTTCGTATCTTTTAAAGAAAATTTTTTTTCCAGAATGAAATTTAGTTAACAGTGTAAATCTATCATTTATTTGCTAAGTTTCCCTGCCACGTGCCACATTAATGTGGGTACCTGCAGCACTTAAGTATGTGTACAATAGTAGGTATATGTACACACCCCCTCCCATCAGTCACAAACACCCCCAATCAATCACACACATACACTTATTCATCCAATTTCTCAATCTAGGCAGCTTACCCTCTACACGCACCAGGTGCTTTTTCTTTCCCCTTCCAGTTGATATGTGTTTAGGAAATTACTAATATTTTAAAAAATTTATTTCAACCTAAGTCAACTGGAAAAAGAGGTTTGTGAAGAGAGATAGGAAAAAAAAACAACACCACACTAGTTGCATTTCAGTCCAAGGAAGTGACTTTTAGTTTACTTACCCCTTATCTCAAGATCATCTATTCTATTCTACCCCTTCTTCAACAATGCAGAATCTGAGAATTGTGTGCAAATAGATCCACTTACAAAGGCAGGGAGATGCCACCTTGCTAACTAGGTAGATCCACTAATTAATGGGGGGAAGGAGGGAAATCTGTTCTGCAGATTTCAAAGAAACATGAGTGATGTCTTGGCCTGCTTTTGTTAGTACCCTCATACTGAAACAGACAAAATAACAAGGTGAGGGAGATAGAGGGACATGTGAAGCTGCGACAGAAAAAAGGACCTCTAAAAATAAACCAACCAATTCTACAAACTATAACTTTCATAGGTGGCTTCTCAGATCAAGAGATTTCCTAAAGCAAAGGCCAGAAACGAAATAAAACAATGCCAGCAAGAGCTTCTCAAGACCTGCTGTGGAGGAAGTGGGGGAAGACACGGTCTCCTCAGTGAACTGAGCAGCAGAGCTTATGACCAATAGAAAAGATACCACATTCATCCAAACGATAAACAGCCATGTGAGCTTCAAACAGGAAACTTGGGGAGACAAGTCAAATTTAATAAGCAGATCCTAGATAGTTAAAAGGCAAAATTTTAAAAGGTATGCAAATTCACAGACTGGCAGTGGGGAGAAAGCCCAAAGATGTGAAAAACGGGTAAGAAAAAACTATTAAGCTATTATTGAAAGAAAGTGTATCATTCTGACCATAAAACGGAATATTATTAATTATCTCTAAGACTACTTTTAATTATTTTCAATCACATTCTTCACAGTAAGATTCTGAATTATTCCTGGTAAGCAGCAATTCTGTCATGAATGGCATTTGCAAAACTCTCTTTAGTCCCAGATTAAATTGCAAACCACTATGCAAAATCTGATGGAGAATCCACAGCTGGCCTCTGTGGCTGTCTTACCCATTCCGGCACTCCCATTCTGTGGCTGGGGTTTGCTGCCGGGTGGGATGCTGGCTGCAACTGGAGTAGAAACAACTTGCTGCTGCTGCTGCCCAAGTCCTGAAGATCAAAAGGGAAAAGCTATTTTAGTGCAAATGAGGTTCCTCATGGATGTAAACGTCAGTAGAAGAAATACTCTGAGAAAAGTATAAATTTCTGGTTTTATCAGATTCTCACAGGTCAGAAGTCACACTGGGGCTTTCAAGTGCATGTGGTGAGTTTGTGAGGGGGGTTACTTTTTGTTTTCATTACATAAAAGGTTGGCTCCATTTACCTTTCACCTGCATATAATTGATAGCTTTCAGTTTTAATGAGGTTCTCCCCTAAAGCCTCGCCCACTTCTCCTGCCTGAACCTGCAGTAAAGTCACTGGGTTGAATCTGTGACATTACCACTATTTCCATAGCAACAAATCGATGTCATCAACAGAACTGTGTGTTCACGGCAGGATCTATCAGAAGAAAAAGCTGGTGGTAAGAAAAACCTAAAAGCAGTTCAATTGTCTCTGAAGTGCTCCTGCTTCAAAGGAAAAGGCAACATTCTGAAAGGATTCTACCCTTTCCCTCCCAAACAAAGCCACCTTATTCCGCAACTGACAGCTGGTAGAAAATAAGAGTTGAAAAAGTCTTGGGTACCATGAAGTGCTAGTGAACTGTCACAGCAGGGAGAGACGAGAACGGAGTTCAGAGGCAGGTGTGTCAAGAAAACAGGAAGATTAAAAAGAAAGGAGGGGAAATGAACACGTCTCTCAAACAGCAAATAAGAAACACCAGACCACAAGGGCATTTTATTTGCCCTTCACTCTTTATACCAATGTTTACAAAATTAAAGAAGGCGAAGTTGTAAAATCATTTTTAAAAACAATAGATTTACAGAATTGGCTTCTGCTTTTATGACTGGCATTAAAGGTAAAAATAAAACAAGCAAACTCATTTGGACTGCTCAGCACAAGGAGTGGAGTTACTGTGGCTTACAGTAACTCTGAACGTTGCAAACAATATGCTTGGCTGTTAAGTGAAAGCTCAGTGGTTTGAGTTCACCCAGAGGTGCCTTGAAAGAAAGGCCTGGTTAGTCACTTCTGAAAAATCAGTCCCTGAAACAACTACGAGAAATTATCTCACCCAAGTAAAAATAGCAAAATTTAACAGAACAGAAAACAACACATGCTGGTGATGATGCGAAGAAACTGAAATGCTTATTCACTTTGGTGGGAGTGTAAAATGGTACAACCACTATAGAAGGCAGTATGGAGCTTTCTCAAAAAGTTGGAAATAGAAATACCACTTGACTCAGCAATTCCACTACTGGGAATATACCCCAAAGAGACCATAACTGACACCCAAGCAGATATATGCACACCCATGTTTACTGCTGCTTTGTTCACAATAGCAAAGAGATGGAAACATGCCAAGTGCCCATCAACAATCAAATGTGGTACATTCATACAATGGAATACTACGCTGCACTGAAAAAACAAGGAACTCATGAATGATTATACAAAATGGGTGACCCTGAAGGACATTATGCTGAGTAAAATATCTGTCACAAAAAGACAAATACAGCATACTGCCACTGTTATAAAACAGGACTGACAAGGGGGCTGGGGGGAACTAAGAAAAGAGGGGATAAATAATCTACACAACATTAAAACAGACAAGGGAGACAACTGTATAAAAGGAATATATAATTAGGTATTACTGGCATGACTTGAGTCCAGAATAAGAGATGCATAGTAAAGTGGTGGTGGTGGAACTGTTTAACAATGAAAGAACTTTTTTCCCAAAGAAAAAAAGTATTTGGGGGAAAGAGGGAGCAGGGAGGAAAATGTGCAACAATGAACAATTGGAAACCCAAGTTCCTGATAACTTTCATTAAAAACTCAAAATTTAAAAAAAGTTGGTAAAAAAAATCAATCAATCAATCAGTCCCTGAGAACCCTGTGGGCTACGGCTCTGACACGTTGGGCTCACCATGACTCAAGAGTGGACGAATGGCATCTGGAAAGGGAGAAAGACAGATATGCATCACAGGTGAAAACTATCTTTTCAGTGAATTAAAATAGCAAATGTTAAAAAAAAAAAAGGTAAAACAATAGGAAAAAGTGTTTGCTGCACACAAGTATAATGCAAATACATCTCCTAGGGTTCATAAAAAAGGAAAGGGTGTGCACTACTGGGGAAGTACCCACTGCTGAACTGTCTGATCTCTCCAACTGCAGCATTTAAGGCTCTGCTGGGTTTTCCAAGGTCCAAACATGAATGTGCAGATTATACACTCATTTGTTTCTGCCCGTATTACTTTTAAATGGCACCACTAAATGAGAGCTAACTTGCCATTAAAGCAAAACAAATTTAACATAAAAGGAAAAAGGTTAAAGAGAATAGTTTATTATTTAGTTTTTCCCATGGAGACAAAAATTGAGAGACCTTATTTACATAGAAAAGAGAGCGCAGGTTATTGACAACAAAAGTTTTGATTTCTTTTTTAGTTATCTCCATTATCCCTGAATTTACAAAATGTCATATAAAATAGCACAAGAGAATTGCTCTTCTCCGACAACATGTCATGAAGGAATATTCTGAAATTCTGTAGTGAATCTTCTTTTAAAAAACCAGCAGGGAGAAGATGAGTTACTCAGTAAATAATATCGGGGCTAAGTGGCTTGAAGGAAAAGAAAACTGTATCTCCCTATTTGCTTCATGTAATATATTCATAAGAATCAAACATTCAAAAACGAAATAGTAAAAATGCACAAACCCTACTGTACTTCACCTCAGCTCCTTCCTCTCTCTGTATCGCTGCCTCAGTCTTATGATTGGAGTCTTACAGTGAGCAGAGAGCACTACACAAGTCTCCGATTACATCCTGTAATACCATCCTGCCATTAGGTTGATCTTAACACCACCATGCGCATCAGCGGTGAATTGGACTTCAATGGCTCCGTTTTTTTGAACTCGATTGGCAAATCTTTCTTCTATAGTGCCTCTGGGGAGACCTGAACCAACAACCTTCTAGTTAGCAGGTAAGCATGTAAATTATTTGCAGCAGATATTAAGGTCAGTAATTTTTTTAAAGTCTTTTTTTTAAATTTAAATTTATTATTTCAGAAAAAATTTACAGAGCCTTTGGATTTCCATTCATTCATTGTTGCACTTTTCTCCCTTCCCAACCCTCCCCCCTAGTACACTACCCTCTTGGAAAAGTAAGAGACAAATTCTTTCATTGTTTTACAAACCCTCCCCCAGGTCCACTCCACCATGTAGCCTTCGCTCTAGACTCCTGTCATGACAAAAATACCTAATCACATATCCCTTTTGAACAGTTTTCTCCCTCATCTTTTTCAATGCAGTATACATTATTGAGCCCATCTTTCTCAGTCTCCCCCTAACCCCGAGGTCAGTCCTGTTTTACAAGAATGGCACCATGCAGATTTGTCCTTTTGTGACTGAGATACTTCACTCAGCATAATGTCCTCCAGGGTCACCCACTTTGAATAATATTGCATGAGTTCCTTGTTTTTCAATGCAGTATAGTATTCCACTGTGTGAATATACCACAGCTTTTCTATCCATTCGTTTGTTGATGGGCACTTAGGTTGTTTTCTACTCCTTGCTATTGTGAACAAAGTCACAATAAACATGGGTGTGCATGTATCTGCTTAGGTGGTGGTTATGGTCTCTTCAGGGTTTATTTCCAGTAGTGGAATTGCTGGGTCAAATGGTATTTCTATTTGCAACTTTTTGAGAAAGCGCCATACCGCCTTCCACAGTGGTTGCACCATTTTACACTCCCACCAACAGTGAATAAGGGTTCCAGTTTCTCCAGAACCTCGTCAACATTTGTTGCTTGCTGTTCTGTTAAATTTTGCTATTCTGACTGGGTTGAGATGATATCTCATAGTTGTTTTAATAGTAATTTTTTTTTTGATGCTAACTATGCAGGGAGTTCTGGTAAGCTAGTGGCAAGAAGCTGTGCTGCAGTCCCAAAGGCACGTGGTTCAAGAACACTATCTGCTCTGCAGGAGAGGGATGGGCAATCTCCTCCCTTACAATTAACTGCCTCTGAAAACCTGCCGGAGGGTCAGCCATGGGTAAGTTCCAACTCGATGGTACACAACAACAACCAACAACAACAAGCACCAGGTGCAAACTTAAGTGCATTATACCTTCTCATCACTCATGAACTATTTTTTATTCAGTATTTCACATTTATGACAATAGTAAAAAAATGTACTACCCACCTATTTTGTGCATTAATGATGAACGTCTGGCAGTAACAAAGTCTGAGGTCCCAGATGGACTATGTGTGCAGAGCTTACATTGTATAGTATTATACTTCACTGCAGGGAGAGAAAAGTGGGTGCAGTCTCCCTGAGACACTGGAGTGGACACAGGAGCCTGAGCTCCCAAGCCTGGTGGAGTACAGGGGAGCTTGAGGTGGGGCTAGCAGAGGTAGGACACTGGCTAGCAGGTCCTGTGTACCCAGAGGACTGAGGCTGAGAAAGGAAGAGCCAGTACCCTGAAGGTATGCCCTTGGGGCAGAGGAGGAAAGGAGACCCAGGCTACAGCCTACAAAGGGCAACAGACACAGGCCAGGCCCAAGTCTGTGGCACCTCACATCCGCTGACCCTGGCACCTTCAGCCCCCTTAATGCTTTCTTGGTGCTCCTTTGTGGGTAGGCACAAGTGAGGGTAGCTGGTAACAGCAAGCGAGTGGCCAATGGCAGCTGAAGTTTAAGATCAAGGACAGAGGCTGGTCTTGCTGCTTCTGTCTCAGAGGAAACTCTGAATTATCTATTCTGGGAGTGGAGGGGAGCTGGTAGGCAGAATGTGCTCCTCACCGTGGCACCCTGACCCTCCTGCCTACAGAAAGGAACAAAGGAATCCCTTGCCCCTGAAAAGGCCACCAATGGCATTCTGAGGTCCTGAGGGGATGAACTGAAGTTACCCCTCTCCTAGTAAGGGCAGGAGATTGAGTGGACCCAGGGTGAAGAGAGGAGCAGCATTTGGGTCACTCTGACCGTAGAAGCCTTGAAGGAAAATTCTGTGGGTGGCAGCTCTTC